CATTCATGTGTGAGAGATACACTAATTGGTTGCCTCTTGTAAGCCCCCAACCAGGGACCCGGCCCGCAACCCAGGCATGTGCCCTGGCTGGCAGTCGAACCTAGGACTCTTTGGTTTATAGTCTGGTGCTCAATCCACTGAGCCACACCAGCCAGGGCAGTGAGGCTTTCCTGACGGGAGTGCTTAGAGAGGCAGGACTGAGATCGGGCAGTAGAGTAGTGATGACGGGAGAGGGTGAACTGGTACGGAAGAGTGAGACAGAGGAAGAGACCAAGGGTTCTGGTTTGGAAGGTTGTGGGAGTGCTTTCTCCCTGGGCCCAGATGGGCATACCGAGGGAAGAGCACATTTTGAGTACAGCCATCCCTCGGAGACATTGCAGGTTTGCTTCCAGATAACTCAGTAAAGTGAGTATTGCGATACAGCGAGTCACACGCATTTTTTGATGCCCCGGTGCCTGTAAAAGTTATTATACAATACTGTAGTCTGTTAAAGGTGCAATAGCATTATGTTTTTTAAAAAGTATAAATATTTTATTTCTAAAAAATGCTAACCATCATCTGAAAAATGGTACCAATAGATTGCTTGATGCAGAGTTGCCACAAACGTTCAGTTTGTAAAACAAAAAATAAATATAATATCTGCACAGTGCAGTAAAATGAGGCATGCCCGTACCTGAACAGGTGCTGCAAGAGACTAATCACAGAGACCAAGAGGGCTGTTACGGCAGAGGGAATGTAAGTGTCAGATTCTACCACCAGGATAATGCATGAGAGATGTTGGTTGAATTTGGCAAAAGGGCATTTGCATTGCCTGGTGTATATGTACAAAGAATACCTTAGTGTATCCACTGCTGGCAGCTCCAGATAGATTGAAATTCAGCAGTTGAATCAACGTCTTCTCAAATTGTGAACCAAATTGAATTAAAATCTTTTATTTCTGCTTTTGGCAGATACACTAAACTTTCTAAAGTAGTATATTCAAACTATCAAACACGATTTTTGAGAATAGCTTTAAATGTACTTCAACATGATTTTTTTGAGGGGGTGGTGATAGGAAAACAAAGCTTGCCTTTGTTTTAAATTTATTATAACTGTCCTTGACTCAACATTTTGTGAAAGTCCAAAGTGACGGATCTCACCAACCTAGGGTTTGCAGTGTAAATAGGGATGAGACTCACAGGCACGCTGGAAGGAGGGACCCATACATACCCTGTTAGAGAGGGGCCCCCTTTGACCCCTGAGATGGAGAGAATGGTAGACGCGTACAATTCTGTCTCTTTGAGTCAAGGCTCAGATTAATCTGTGAGTAATTACCTTGGGGCTATAAATTGTTATATAAGAAATTTCTTAGTCCTTAGTTTTTAGTCTTTCCTTCAGTTAGTGTTTTCCAGAAGTAGAAAAAGGACTCAATAAGACTTGTAATCTTATTATATATTGATACTGTAGAACTGCACAGTTATCTTGAATGTGTCATGGTCATATGTGTTCCTTCCTGTCATCAGCTTTTTTTGGCTTTGAGTGATTACCATCCTGGACCCATTTTCCTTTTGAAAAAGGTTTGGCTTTTTCATTATAACTCCTTCTTGATAATACAGTTGACCCTTGAACAAGGAGGTAAGGGCCACCAACCTCTGCAAAGTCAAAAATCACTATACCTACATTGTTTTGAGGGTTTTCTTTTTTTAAAGATTTTATTTGTTTACTTTTTTAGAGTGTAGGGAAGGGAGGGAGAAAGAAGGGGAGAGAAACATCAATGTTTGAGAGATACATGGTTGCCTCCAACATCCCTCTGCAACTGAGGACCTGGCCTGCAACCCAGTCATGTGCCCTGACTGGGAATCGAACCAGTGACCTTTTGATTTGCAGACTGACAATCCACTGAGCCACACCAGCCAGGGCTATTCCTACACTGGTTTGAATTGCAGAGGTCAGTTGAAAACCCCACATATAAGTGGACCTGTGCAGTTCAAATCCGTGTTGCTCAAGGGTCACTGTACACAGCCGTAACTACTAACAGGTTAGTTTCTTGATCAAAACAGATCAGCAAGAGTTCATTTTGGTTTGGCTGAAAGATTATTTTTTCCACAATTGAACACATCACAGAAGAGTGGAAGACTTTCACCAGTTGTGAGGTGTTGACTAATAGATTCAGAATGGATTGTTGAGCTCTTTGAACAGTAATGGTGTGAATACTCGGGCACTTATTTCCTGAGAGCCCAGCTGTTTACACTCTGAGAAAGAGATTATTTAATGTTTAAATATCATTCACAATGTATGTCCTGGCCTGCTAAAAGTGACTTAAATATTGCCCCACGTTATTGTCCCCGAATCACTGGAGGTCATTTCCTCTACAGTTGCTGTGGGGGGGGGGTGTGCGGTCAGTTCTCTCTTAAGACCCAAATCAGGGAGGGGCGGCATCCCTGCTGAGACTGCTTTGAGCACAGATTATTCTAGGCACCCTCCTCTACGGTGCGCTGCTAGATCTCAGAAAGCCCTTTGGAACCCGACTTCCTTACAGATTTCTGGTGTTTTTTGCTACTGGGCAAGGTGCAGTGACACTGCATTTTGTTTAAAGTAATGGTCTCAGGACTCCTTTAGGGTTCTGTGACATGTAGTGGATGTTATCATGGGCCGTTCTCACATCCCCTCTGTGACGTGTGGGCCGCAGGAGTGCCTCCTGCAGGAGGCTGCGGAGGTGCATGCCGCTGACGTGTGTGCTTACTATTTTGTTTATATTGGTGTGTTCTGTGGCTGTTGGCACTAAAAGAATAGATTCACGTCACTCCACTGTCAGTTTTATAAAGGGCTAGATGCATCTTCTCTTAACATCATGTGTTCTCGGCAAAACTCAGCTCCACTGGGATATTCTAAGTTGGTCATTAATGGACGTAGTCATCAGTAAAATTGCCAGTTTCAGCAGAGGACCGTGTTGTTTTCCACGGCTGAGCTGCACCCAGTGTGCGAATTCTGAGGCTTTCTTGCTGCTGTTAGTGCCGTTGAGATTACGTGCTCAGACCAGGTATAGTGTTAAAATTCCGTTTCTTCAGGAAGGTTGGAAAATTCCATTTTGAAAATACACAGGTTAAAGGCATGATGGAATTTAATTGTCAACATGTATTGAGTGTCTGCCCTGTGGCCAGTCCAGTTCTGGATTCTGTGGACCTGTGACAGTAGCCTGAGCCCTGTTCTTACCTTAAAGGCTTCACCTAAGCCATCCGTGGCGAGAAGGGGAGGTGGCCGCCAGACATGGCCAGGGATCCTTTGGGTTTCCTGTGTGGCTCCGTACCTTTGATAGGACCTGGTAGCCACTGCATGGTGAGACATTTAGAAGTCAGAACAGAAAGCAGTGGGTATAGGGCTGACAGAGCCCTATTGGGAAAGAGATGGCAAAAAAGGTTCTAGTTAGGAGCTCATCCTAAACAGTATTACTGTCAGGTTTAAAAATATATATTTGTAGTAAAAGCTCCATTCAAACAGTCATTAAAGTTTAAACCAAATCTTTTGTCTCTTTGCATTTTGTGATAGGGTCTGTTATGGAGGAATAGTTTTGTTATAGCCATGGTTAAAAGAAATGTTAGCTATAATTCGAAGTCCCTGTGAGCCTCAACAAGAAAATAATTCACCAACATGCGTGGGTCCACGTGCCTCTTGCCTTGCATGGAAGGGAAGTGAGGTCCTCAGTCATTAGTGAAATAAGCTGTCTTGACTCCTAGGTTTTCTCCAGATGTGCCTGGGCTTTGGGACGGGCAGGCAGTCACTTACCGCACAGCCTTTGACACTGTGTGCTGGAACATGCCATTGTTTAGTAGGGGTGCACCTGTGTCCTTTCAGGAGTGACTCGACCTCTAGGAGCAGGGATCACGTGTTGGCCATGTGTGTCTTCCCCCCTGCGGTTCCTTCTGGTGGAGCAGCATGCACTTCCTTACAGATCCTCGGAGTTCCTCTTAAATACAGTCCAGTGAGCCAGAGTACCAAGGTTCTGTGTGTTCTCTTGGCTCCTTAGCCCGAAGTGTGCTCCTTGTTTCTTCTTGAGTCAGTAGCACCCTCACGCTGTGTAGTGCTCTTTCTGGGAAGCCTGATCTGGGCATCCAGACACATCCTGATCTTCTGTGGCCCCCACCCGCCGTCCTGACACTCAGGGGTCCTTTGTTTTATAACTGGCTGGCTTCCCTTATTAACACGATCTGGTGGCTATAACTTGTACATGCCATCTCACTACTGACTTCTTCAACGTAACATTAAAATGTGAGCCTCTTTCCCTATTCACACACTTAACTTCTGCAACATCCTTTTCAATGACTCTATAGTAGCCCATTGCATGAATCCATCATATAGTATTCTTTTCCTTTTTGTTGGGCATTTAGGTTCTTTTTAATTTTTTACTGACCATGTACACATAGCCTCTATCATTTCCTTAGAAAAATTTACTAAAGCAGAACAGCTACCTCAAAGCACCTTCTGGGGCCCTTTGGCCATAACCCCTGTGCTGAGAGAGTGTAGGAGCCAGAGAGGCTGCCTTCGGACTTTTAAGTGATCCTTGCCGCTAGGGCTCACTGGGTCCCAGGCACTCGAGGTTTTAAACAGGAGTGTGTTTTGTTTTTTGTTTTGTTTTGTTTTGCTGTATTTATACAAGAATTCCAAGCCTGGAGATTTTCTGCAAGTAACAGGCCTAACAAGAAATACACTTCCTGTGTGGAGCCTCCTGTAGCAACTTGAGGGAACGTACTACATTGGGGAGCTCATAGCTGTTTCGCTTAAATTGGAAGCTGAGACTAATTTCTTGGGCAGTCACTGATGAAAACAAAGACAGAAGAATGAAAGAGATCTAGGAAATCTCTAAGGTTGTAAGAGTCTGAACTTGAAAGTCAAAGCAGAGCACCAAGATAAAGAGTCTGAACCAAGCCTGGGCATTCTGTAGACGTGAATGTATGTATTTCTCTGAAGGTGGAACTCTCTGAAAGGAACCTCAGTTACAACTTGATTTTTTTCTTTCTTTCTAGGTGTCTCATTCAGTTGCTAAACTTATATTAGTTAATTTCCACTGGCAAGTTGCAGAGATACTGGACAGGTAAGGTATTTGGGGGAGGAGAGGTCTTCTCTATGCCCACCCACCCAGTGATGACGATGATTATTTACATTTTGGAGTATATCCTTACCGTGTTCATATTTTTAAAACTGTGGATCATATTGCACACCTGTTTTTCTCAGTATGTGGGGAACGAACGTTTTCCCATATTTTCAGCTTATTCTTTCTGTCCTACTTTTATTGCTGGCACAGTATTTCCTTACATAGGTGTTATCTACTTTTTTCAAACCCCTGTTGTTGGACAGTGAAGTTCAAGTTTTTTCGTGTCCTTTTTACTTTGTAATCAGTACCCTGCTAGACTACACTTGCCAACATCTCCAGTTATTTCTTTTGGATACATCAGGTGAGGGATGCATCACAACATACCACTATTCCCTTGAGAAAAGGATGGCTAGTTAACCACCCACTTCCAGAACCAGAGCTCTTGAGTCACAGACTTTGTAGTCTCAGGATACCCTGGAAGTGGTCAGAAAAAGGGGTTTTTCCTCCCCCGGTCCTGCAGAGAGGTTTCCTAGGCAACGCCCCTCCCCAGAGGCATGTGCTTCTGTCTAGCTCAGGATTTCTCATCCTCAGCACCATTGACATTTTGGGCTAGATAATTCTTTGTTGTGGGGAGATGTTCTGTGAATTGTAGATGGTTGACAGAACCCCTAGGCTCTACCTACTACAGATCAGTAGCAGTGGTATCCCCATGTTCTTGAAATAAAAAAATGTTTCCAGCCCTGGCTGGTGTGGCTCAGTGGGTTAGTTCCAGCCTGCCAACCAGAAGGTTGCTGGTTCGAGTCCTAGTTGGGGTACATGTCTAGGTTGCAGGCCGGGTCCTCGGTGGTGAGCGTGAGAGAGGCAACCACACATTGATGTTTCCCTCTCTTTCTTCCTTCTCCTCTCTCAAAAAATAAATTTAAAAAATCTTTTTTTTTTAAATGGTATGTTTCCAGAAAGTACCCAATAGCCCCTGGAGAACTAGATTCCCCTGGTGAGAAACACCACCATCCTGCACTTTCACACTCCAGTGGGACTTTCTCTGTATGGTGTGATTCCACTGTAACTGCAGAGGAAGGCCGTGCCTTTCCTTCTCCAGGCTGAACACCACTGGGGTGGCCGTACCAGCTGGAGCATGTGTTCCACCTAGAAGGGAACAAACGTGTTCCTCTTCCACCAGCTGCACGCTCACTCTACCCTAGAGCTGTGTACTGGATCCGGATAGACTTCCACACGAACTTCCTCTGCACCCCTATTACTGCTACCCTTACTGTGGGACCACAAAGCTTCCAGCAGTGGGTGTCTCTCACTGTCCAAACTCTTTAGGGTGATTTGGGAATGGAGGAGATTTGGATGGCTAAAGACACAAAGAACACTAATGTGAGAAGTAGGAATAAAAATAGTTGGACGAGGCATTCTGAGCAGGTGGAATAAGGACCACACATTTGAGACTTAATTCTTCCCTACTCATACTCTTGTTATCTTGGTAATGCGTTTTGCAGGGCTTCATTATAGTACTTTTATTGCCACATGATAATTGGTTATGTTTTTAAGTGTATTTTGCCATACGTCATTTCAGAAGGAATTAAATTTTTATTATGAAATAGTGGTGTTATCCCCCTCCCCCCCCCAAAAAAAAATTTGTGTCTGGACTTTCAGCCAAGATGGAGGCATAGGTAGTAGCAGTGTGCCTCCTCGCGTAACCAAAACTAAGGACAAAACAAAACTTTACAAACAAAAAACAACCAGAACAGAGAGAAATGAACTGAACGGAAGTCTGACTACCATACATCCAGACCGGTAAGGAGGGGTGGAGTCGGAGGCCTACGGAAAGGGGTCCTGGCAGGAAAGAGCAGTGGCTGGCAGACTCGGGCTCGCAGGGCGCAGACGGCAGCTGATGGACCGGTGGCAGACCCTGGGCGCAGGAGGCAATGAACAGACCCAGTGAGGCGCTCAAGGCAGCTGGCCGTCCGCCGCCGCACATTCGCTCACAGACAAACTAAGCGAAAACGGGCAGCGACACAGACTGGGCAACCCAGGGACCCAGCGCCGGTGAACAAAGCCTAAAGGCACCAACTGAAAACACCTGTTGAGGATGAGGCCAGGAGATTCTCTCAGCCTCACAGGAGGCTCCTTGGGGAAACGCAGAGTCTGGGAAAGTACACAAGCCCATCCACCCAGAAGTCAGCACCAGAAGGGCCCAATTTGCTTGTGGGAAGCAGCAAAGGGGAGTGAAGTCCTAGAGAGAGCGGAGCAGGCACCATTGTTCCCTCTCGGACCCCGCCCCCACATACAGCGTCACAAGCCAGCGACTGAGGTGCCCCACCCTGGTGAACACCTAAGACTCCGCCCCTCATACATAACAGGTGTGACCAGACCAAAGGAAAAAAATAAAATTAAATTAAAAAGATGGCTCAAACAGTTAAAATCCCCAGAGCCAGTTTTTTTAAGCGACCAAGAGATAGCCAACCTATCATATGCACAGTTCAAAGCACTGGTGACCAGGATGCTCACAGAATTGGTTGACTTTGGTCATAAATTAGATGAACAAATGCAGGCTACAATAAGAGAAAAGAAGGAAAATGCACAGGGAACCAATGGTGACGGAAAGAAAACTGGGTTTCAAATCAGTGGAAGGGACCAGAAGGAAGAAAGGAACAACCAAACAGAAAAGAATGAAGAAACAATTCAAAAAATGAGAGGCTGAGGGACCTCCAGGACATCTTTAAACGTTCCAACATCCGAATTATAGGAGTACCAGAAGGGGAAGAGGAAAAACAACAAGTGGGAAACTTATTTGAACAAATAATAAAGGAGAACTTCCCCAATCTGGCAAGGGAAATAGACTTCCAGGAAGTCCAGGAAGCTCAGAGAGTACCAAAGAAATTGGACCCAAGGAGGTACACACCAAGACATATCATAATTACATTACCCAAGGTAAAAATGAAGGAGAGAATTCTAGAAGCAGCAAGAGATAAGGAGACAGTTACCTACAAAGGAGTTCCCATCAGACTGTCAGCTGATTTCTCAAAAGAGACCTTGTAGGCAAGAAGGGGCTGGAAAGAAGTATTCCAAGTCATGAAAGGCAAGGACCTACATCCCAGATTGCTCTATCCAGCAAAGCTTTCATTTAGAATGGAAGGGCAGATAAAGTGCTTCTCAGATAAGGCCAAATTAAAGGAGTTCATCATCACCAAGCCCTTATTATATGAAATGTTAAAGGGACTTAGAAAAAGAAGATAAAAAATATGAATGTGGATGATACTGGCCAGCAGTATCCATCTTGGCTGCAGATGTTCATCCAAACATGCTAAAAACATACACAGAGACAACCAGGTCCTGTGGGGGAATAGGAACAGAAGGTCCACTCCTCACGTGGGGAGCGCCTTGGCCACCCTCCTGGAGGGCGCCGTTTGGCCACTCTCTCTCTGGTGGGGAGAGCGCCCCGTTGGGGCTTTTTATTGGTTTCGTTTGAATAAGAATTCAGGTAAAGCTCATTACTCATTGCCAGGAAGTAAGGATCAAACAATAGATAACAAGGAACTCTGAGGGCCTATTTTGAGTGAGGGTCAAAGAGCTGTAAAAACTTTAAGGAACAAATTTACTTCTTCCTTGGACCCTTATCATTCAACTGAGAGCATTGTAAACAAAGCAGGTTTCACAGGATTTTACATATTCTTTCTTAGGCCTGATCACCCAGGGAACCTGCCCATTTCAGCACACAGCTGCACCACCCTGTCATTGTTTCAGGCTTAGGTGGAGCAGGGGAACTAAGACAACTAAGAGATAAGGAGATTTTCTCCCAGACAAAGAGGACTGAGGCTATATCCAAGCCGAGGAGCGAGGGTCCATCACCCCCTTTTGCTGTAGCCCCTAAAGTCCTTTCTTGGGGCCCTCCCATGTGATCGTGCCTGTCTTAAATTGTTTCCCCCTTGGAGAATCTTACCCGGCATTGGCTAACCGACCAAGCATTGGGGGCCAGTTATGAATGAAGCAGCAGAAGCAGTGCTCCTGCCAGGGAGATAAGCTTTTGTCTCCTTGCTGGCTTATGGTCCAAGGCTACTCCCTCAGCCTTAGCCTTGGTGGGGGTTACAGCTTCTGATACCAGGCAGGGCAGCCCCCAATATATGAACAGTAAAAAAAGACATCAAACTCACAGTTAGTAACAACCATACTTAAAACAAAAGCAAACTAAGCAAACAACTAGAACAGGAACAGAACCACAGAAATAGAGATCACATGGAGGGTTAGCAACAGGGAAGTGGGAGGAGGAGAGGGGGGGAAAAGATACAGAGAATAAGTAGCACAGACAATAGGTAGAAAATAGGGGGAGGGCAAGGATAGCATGGGAAATGTAGAAGCTAAAGAACTTATGGCACATGGACATGAACTAAAGGGGGGGAATGTGGGTGGGAGGGGGTGGGCAAGGTAGAGGGGAGTGAAGGGGGAAAATGGGACAACTGTAATAGCATAATCAATAAAATATATTTAAAAAAAGAAAAAAGTTGTGTCTGCACACACGCCTATGTGATGTGTGTAGGTATTAAAGAATGCTATAATGCAAATGCTCTTAAGCAGCCACTCAAATAAGATACCCTCTGACCTCTGGCAGCAATTTCTGTCTGGCTACACCCCTTCCTTCCTCTCCAAGGCAATCAGTAAGTTCAGTTCAGTTTTAATTATTTTATGTTTTCATACGTATCTTTTAGTTTTGTATGTTTTTAGAACTCTATAGACATATAATCATGCTGTATGTGTTTTCAATTTTTTAAATCACCAACAACTTGATTTTATGACATCCTCTTCATCTTTTTATCAAAAACCATTTGTGAGCTGTGGCTGGTGTGGCTCAGTGGATTGAGCACTTGCCTACGAACTAAAGGGTCACCAGTTTGATTCTCAGTCAGGGTATATGCCTGCGTTGCAGGCCAGGTCCCCAGAAGGGTGTGCGCAAGAGGCAGCCACACATTGATGTTTCTCTTCCTCTCTTTTTCCCTCCCTTCCCATGTCAAAAAATGAAATAAATAAAATCTTAAAAAAAAAATTAAAAAAAAACCAAAAAAACCCCATTTGTAAATTCAGGGTTTTGTGGGGTTTTTGTGGGTTGGTTTTTTGTTTTGTTTTGTTTTTGTTTTTCCCTGTTACAAGTGATGGCGTAATTTCTAGTATCACATAATTTTTATAGGGTTAAGACTAGAAAATGTCCCCTGGCTGGTGTGGCTCAGCGGATTGAATGCTGGCCTGTGAGGTGAACAGTCACTTGTTCGATTCTCTGTTGGGGCACGTTCCTGGGTGGCGGACCAGGTCCCCAGTTCGTGGGCGTGTGAGAGGCAACCCATAGGTGTCTCTCTCCTGCATCAATGCTTCTCTCCCTCTTTCTCTCTCTTTTTGTATCTTCCTTCCTCTCTAAAAATAAATCTTTTTTTTTTTTAAGAGTAGAAAGTGAGTTGATGGGCAAAAACTTTACTAAATAACACCAAAATGTTTTCTGAAGTGATTGTTCAATGTCACATGCTCATCAGTGGTGTATGTTCCCGATACTTCCACACTTCAAGTGTTACGGTCTGGTGGGTGTCAGTGGCATCTAACTGTTTCTCATTTCAATGTCCCAGATGGTTTGACTGGTGGAGCGCCTTTTAATGTGTTTAGTGGCCATTCGTGCTTCCTCTTCTGTGAAATGCCTGTTCTCTCTTTTGCCCACTTTTATTGTTATTTTGCCTTTTGAAGTGAACTTTTAGGAGTTTTTGTTTTGTTTATTCTGAATATCAATTCTTTGCCACTATAGGAGTTCAGTTAGCTCCCAGTTCATAGCGTGGCTTTGCACCTTATGGTGCATCCTGATGAACTGCAGCTCTTCACGTGGCGTGGCTCTTCAGCCTCCCTGCGTGCGTGGCATCTCTGTCTTAAGCTATCATTCCTTATTCTGAAGCCACAGAGATATTTGCCTGTTTTCAGAAAGGAATTTAAAGCAGAAATGATCCTTCATGAGTATTTTTCTTATAGTTCAGTACCTTTGAAGCGGGTTTATAATTCTCATATCAATTGAGACCCTAAAAAATTGAAAGAAAAAAAATATTTGCACTAGGGCGAAAAGAAGCTTGGTTGTGTGAGGTGGGATTAGAGACGGAGACATCTGAGAGTGACTGCCACACTTGTTGGTCTTTGTGTCTTTGTTCAGAGGTACAAATGTTTGCCTTTGGTTTCCATTCCCTTCATTTCTGCCTTTTGTTTTGTAGACACAAGTCTAATTCTGCTCAGCTGCTCGTTGATGCCCGAGTTCAGCCCAGTCCTTCCAAGCACGTGAGTGTCTCCTACTTGAGTAAGGCTCCTCCCGGCGCATGTGGGTCTCTCTGTGGCTTTACAGTGTTGCTGAAAACCATCTTGCTTTGTTTATAGTGCGACAGGCCTAAGGTATTTGTTCCAGTATAGGCTTAAATCTTTCATTTCCATTATAGTTTGCAAAGCTTCCTCCTAGGGAGAGGGTGGAAGCAAGGGAGGGAGTTGGGTTTGGAGGGTGTGGGGGTGGGGAGAAAATACAGATAACTATAACTGAATGACAATAAAATAATTTAAGTTGAAAAGAAAAGCTTCCCCCTAGATGAGTACACCGTTGCCAGTCCTGGAACCCTCTTCGGCCCCACCCTCATCCTCGCACTGACACGCAGCCTGCATTCCAGCCCTGCGGGGCCTCGGTGTTCCGGGCGGACTGCGTGTCTGTCTGACTCTGCGTGCGTCTTCCCCGGCCTCGAATGCTTACAGCCTGTCCCCATCTTTGCTTGTGGGAATGAAACTCACTTTAAATTTTGTTTTTAATTGTGTGGAACTCAGTTTTGAGACCCAGATCCAAGCTGTCTCTCACAAAACCTATCTCCTGTGGTCACTGTTGTCCAGACTCCTCTGGTTATGTCTTTAAACTGTTACGTGTATATTTTGATTCAGTTGTCATTTTAGTTCTCCAGACTGTAAGTGCTTTAAGGACAGAAACCATATCCTACAAGGCCTAGCAGTTTCGTGTGTATCTAGAAGTCCTTCAGACATTTGTCAGGTGAACGAGGGCCGTGCAGAAAGAGCCCTTCCGAGGGAGAATGGGACTCAGATCACCCTCCAACTTCTGCCGCCTCTTAGAGAGTTTCCCGGCGCAGACGGATAGACGTGGGAGTGCAGCCCTCCTGCTCACGTTGCACAGACAGGAACCCAGTGTAAACTTGTAGTGGACCTTTCCGTAGTTTGTGGCTTTGGCCGGGGGCCCCCAGCTTGTCTCTGCCTGCCAGTTTGTGTGACGTGGCATGGGTCACGGAGCTCCAGCTGTACGGATGTTTGCCCACTGCCTAGAACAGTTTCTTGCCTAGAAGGAGCCTTCCTCATCCCTCTAAATGAATTGTATGTGACGTCTCTTCCATGTGTTGAGGATAAGTTGTAGCTTGGCAAAGGCTGTAGCATTTTGTATTTGGGGCACATTGGCGCGGGAACACCTACTGTCTTCCATGAGTGGAACTGCAGAGTGGTTGCCTGAAGCTGTGCACAGCCTCGGGCCCTTCGTGGCTGGGTCCGCAGTGCCTGTTGAGGGGCAACTCTGTGCTGTGCTTCACCCGGCCAGTAACAGCAGAAACCCAGTGGTTTCTCAAAGGAGAAGTTGGACTGAATGACCTCTGAGGACCGTGACGGTTCTGAAATCCTGAGCTTTCCAGCCTGACGTTGTTAGACTTCTCTGAGTTCTCTCTGCCTCACTGAATTCCAGTGGTTCTACAGGCCCGGCTCCCATGCTGCCTTCTTCGGGGGGCCTTCCTGATAGGTGCTCTCTGCTCAGAACTCGACTCCCCGAGTTCACGTGTTGCTGCTGCATCTGGCACTTGTGTCTGGGTCAGGATTGCCACACTAGGCACCCCATCTGGCCCCGGGAACTGAAGTCTCCTCTTTGACTCATGTGGATCTGCCTCTTCCCAGGTCCCCCCAGCACACCCCCCTCACCACTGCGCAGTGTGTATGCAGTTTGTGCGGAAGGAAAACCTCCTCTCTCTGGCCTGTCAGCACCAGTTCTGCCGCAGCTGCTGGGAGCAGCACTGCTCCGTACTTGTCAAGGACGGCGTGGGAGTGGGTGAGTCTGCCGTAGAGCTTAGAAAAGGCTGGCGCAGAGTGTTTCTCTCTACTCCGCCCTTTCAGACACTCAGGGCAACTGTGTGTCTTCTTCTGAGCCTAATCGCCAGAACCATTGCTTTCCAAACACATCAGTCTGAACAGTGGCAAAGATTTCCCCAGGCCTGAGCAAAATTAGACAGTTAAGGCTATTGTTTAGGCATATATGTAAATGTTCGTGTGACTTCAAGGCTGCTCCTTGGGAGAACTTTCAGAGGAACTGTTCTTTAGGCTGCCTACCCAATCTTGATTCCCCAAGTGGCAGCCATAACTCAGAAACATCTAGAGAATTTGATATGTAGGTAACTGCATAAATCAAATTTGATTGTTGGTTACGAGAGTATTTGTTATTGTATTAACTTGATGTTGAAATGAAATTAGCACCACATGAATTATATCCACAAAATCTCATGTGTTGGTGGTTATCAGTTGCAAATAATATTAAACATCACAAAACTCAATGATTAGTTGGAATCATACAGGATTTTTAATGATATTTTCAGTGGTACTATTTGTGATGCATATGTAATTCGGGATAATATTTTAGTTGTATCACTGTGCAGATATATTCATTTCTCTCTTCTTTGAATAAATTCTGTTGCTTCAGGGGATTCCTATGTGGCGTCTGAATTTCGTGTTGAGCTCAGCGAGCAGATACAGTTGTCCATTCCAGTGTCTTTGTCCAACAGGAGTCTCGTGCATGGCTCAGGACTGCCCGCTGCGAACCCCAGAGGACTTCGTGTTTCCGTTACTGCCCAATGAGGAACTGAGAGACAAATACAGGCGCTACCTCTTCAGGGACTATGTGGAGGTAGGACCGGCTCCTGTGGGCGTGCCCGCTGCCTTCCTGGGCCTGCGTCCCATCAGGTGCTCACTGTGGTTGCTCTGTAGACACGGCTGCCGTTAGGTGCTGGCATAAACATTTGAGTCCTGGCCGGTGTGGCTCAGTTGGTGGGAGTGTCATCGCATAAACCGAAAGGTCGCATATTCATTTCCCTGTCAGGACACATACCTAGGTTGCAGTTTGGTACCTGGTTGGAGTGTATGGGAGGGGCAACCAGTCAATGTTTCTCTCTCACATTGGTGTTCTCTCCCTCTCTCTCCCCCGCCCTCTCTCTCTAAAATCAATAAGCATGTCCTTGGGCAAGGATGAAAACAAGTTTTTGAAAACCACTAGAATGATAGTGAAGAACACAGACTTGAGGCAGGCAATTGTGTGAATTCCAGGTCTGTGACGTCCTCACTGTGTGACCATCGACCCATTATTTTACCTCTCCCAGCCTTGGCTGTCTCTCGTAGAATGGTCAGTCATACCAACACTGTGCACATGGCTTAAACAAGCTGTTGCAGGCCAAGGTTAAGCACAAGTCAGGCATATCTCAGGAGGTGCTGTTCCGTTCGGTTCACTCTGTGATTCAGCCCAGGGAAGGGGTGTTGCTTCTTGTGCAGCTTGGAATCTTGTCCAGGGTCCCAGCATGGTCAGTTTCAGAGTTTATCTGCTCTGTTGGGCCACCTGTCTGGGCTTGCTGGTTCCATGCAGCAGTTTTCTTCTTCCTTATGCCTAAGCTCACTGGATTGTCTGGTGGTCCAGGTCTGCTCACGCACCTGCTGCAGGGTAAACAGTGCCTCCTTCCTCGTGCTGTTTGCTGCCTTTGGTGAAAATGCCTGAGGCTTGTTGGGCCTCTCGGCTGGTGACGTTGCTTTGCGTTTTCATCTCACAGATGCAGTTCTGTATCCCATTTTGTATTCTAATCCTAGATCATTCTGATGAGTTGCAACCTAGTTTAAGCATTCAAAGGTCTTCAGTATCTGCCTGATGCGTGGTCTTCATGACATTCGTCTTGAATTCCTATAGCCCCTTGATTCGAATCGTCAGCTGAAAGAATAGAAGGTGTTTGAATACCCAGGGAGGTCTGATTTGGAGGCCACATTAGGGGATCACCTCCTTGTTTCCCCTTGCTGTGTTCGCAGAGTCATTATCAGCTTCAGCTGTGCCCCGGTGCAGACTGCCCCATGGTCATCCAGGTACAAGAGCCCAGAGCTCGCCGAGTCCAGTGCAATCGGTGCAACGAGGTCTTCTGGTAAGAGTGAGTGTGGGCGCTGAGCAGCCCTGGGCTCCGGGCTTCTCCTCCTGCAAAGAACCACTGCTGCTGCTCGGGGGGGAGGGGCTGGGAGCGACAGGGTCTTGGAACCAGGAAAGCAGCTCTGCTCCAGGGGGGCAGGATTTGTACACAGCATCTCGAGTTCCATGCTGTGTTTGATAACGCTCACTCTGGAGACCAGCAAGTGGCCCAGACTCTTGGAGGATGTGCTATGGTTTATGCTACTCAGACTCATAGCCCAGAGATTGTATGTGTCTGTCTGCCTGCACAGGTAATTTATACTTTACTGTTTATAATCTTCAATGTTTTCATCTTTATAACTCACCCTGTAATTCATAAATGTGGTTTACACCAACTTGGGGTTTACTCCGTTCAGTAAATGATGGGAAGGTTTACCAGGGAAACGGCATTATCCTGATCAGCGTACCTTCGTTTTCACAGCCTAGTGTGTGTGGAACCGTTGTTGTTCTCGTTAGGTGAGGGAATCGAGGTGCAGGTTATTGGCAGGAGTGCCATCACTTAGGTCCAGATCTGCCCCCCAGTCATGCCTCCCCGGGAACTGCATGGGGGCTTCGGAGAAACTACGTGGGAAATGTGGCATGAGTGCACATGTGCCCATCTTTCAAGACGTCGTGGAGGGCGTCTGTGGTGCACTGGATGTTAAGAAGACCATTGTAGTCGTTCTCCATCCTTGTGTCCCACATGATGAGCTCCTTTGCCTGGGGCATGTGCCTGTGCTGTCTGTCAGGTCGTGTTGGCCTGGACGTAAAGGAAGTTAAAATCCTGGCAGCCAAGCTTGATGAGTGGTTTTTGTTTGTTTGTTTGTTTTTAATCCCGACCGTAAGTTTTCTGCGTTGTTAATGTATCACGCTGCTACGGATTGTACAGGTTCTGGCACTTGGGCATCCTGTGTGCACATCCGGCTGAGAGAGAGGCCAGTGCTCCCAGAAGTGGCTCTTGGCCCTGCCTTGGGTCTGAGCCGAGGGTCCTTCTCAGAGCGCCTCACCACGCCGGTGGAGAGGCTGAATTCTGAATCTGACATCCTTCCAGAGGCACTGACTCCACATAAGACATTCACAACAGAGTCTGGGTCTACTGAAAGTGTATCTTAGAAGGGCTTCAGCTGAAGAGAAGTGTACATAGTATTCCAGCATAATCCCGAGTCAATACAGGTCTAAAAGGCCTTGATAAGTGGCTTTCCCTCGGAAACGCTCTAATTCAGGATCTCTTGGCTTGGACGAAGGAAAGTAACAAACCTGACCTGACGATTATTTGAGTGTTTCTCTTTTCTGGTTTTGAGTTTCAAGTGCCGTCAGATGTATCACGCCCCCACAGACTGCGCCACAATCCGGAAATGGCTCACGAAGTGTGCGGACGACTCTGAGACGGCCAACTACATTAGTGCCCACACTAAAGACGTAAGGACTGTGTCTTCCCTGTCCCGGGTCTGCCCTCCTTAGCGCCGCCCAGGGCCTTGCCCCGGAGATCTGCCGCCTGAGAGCAGGACACCCAGGGGCCCGGGCCTCTGCTGGAGGCTGCAGGCCCTTGCCCAGACTCGGCAGAGGCAGCAGCCGCTCATGAGAGCACGCATTGATCGGCGCCTTTATTTTAGTAAAATGCTGAAATGCCTAGAAAAGTTAAGGAACTAATTAGAAAAAAAACGCTGAAGTTTTTATTGAGTGTCTCCCTGCCTTTAATGTCCCTGGGAGGGAGGTGGTTGATAGCCAGACTCGGACGCGGGCCCAGGCGCTCCCAGTCCTCACTCTGAAAGTTTCTGCGGGAAGCATGGCCCACAGCCCCCGGAGCCCTGGATGACTCAGCACCCGAGGCCCCAGCCTGTGCCAGTCACGAGCTGAGCTGGCCCGCTCACATGCACAGCTGTGAGCATGACGTCATTAAACACTGTCTACTTCGTGGCACAGCACCCGGCTGGTTTCTGCAGTGTTTCCTGGGGTTGCTTTCATCTCTCAGAGAATAAGCAAGATTTGGAGGTGGTTCCCTTGCCCTCTCCTAGAAGCAGGCGTGCAGGCAGGCCGACCAGGACTTAGCCCCCTTTCGTGCTGCTCGGGCGTTCCTCCCAGGCAGGCAGGCTTTCTGCTGACTCAGCTTGTGTTTAACTTGAGCGGCCGGTGGCAGGGACAGATGGTGGAGGGCTTAGTGCGGCTCAGCTGGTGCTTGGAGTGTTTCAGAGCCAAACATGCTGACCTCATTTCCTTGGATTGCTGTTCCAGCCTCAGCGACCCGCCACATTTAAGTGAGATGCTCCTCCCCAGAAGTGCTCGCACGATGAGTACTGGGCACGGGTACCAGGAGCTTTGTGTAATTTGTGTTAGAACCGACCTGATGGTCCGTGAGCCTAATGGCGCCCTTCTGTCTCCTCAGTGTCCCAAGTGCAACATCTGCATTGAGAAGAATGGAGGCTGCAATCACATGGTGAGCAGAAGCCTGTGCCCTTCGTGTGTGTGACACGGAGCCCTTGGTCGGCATGCCTTTAACATGTTCTCTTCTGCTTTCCTCCGACAGCAATGCTCCAAGTGCAAACACGGTGAGTCCCAGGCGCGGTGCTCGAGGCCCGCGCGCACAGTCTGTGTTCCTCGCGCTCGGGTCTCCACTGCTTGTTCAGGGAGGACTTCCGTAGCGATGCGGCCATGGTTTTGGTTCCTGTTTTGGGGCACCTTTTCTAATACTGCTGCCATCTTTCTGACACACGTAGTCAGAAGTCAAGTTTGTCCCCTGACTGGTATGGCTCAGTTGGTTGGGCGTCAATCCACAAAGCAAAATGTCACCGATTCAATTCCTAGACAGGGCACATGCCGGGGCCATGGGTTCAGTCCCCGGTCGGAGCGTGTGCAAGAGGCAGCCAGTTGCTATTTCTCTCTCGTATTGCTGGTTTTCTCCCTCTCTTCCTCTCTCCCCTTTCCCTCTCTCCAAAAATAAATAAATAAGTCTTACCCAAAAAAGTCAAGTTTGGGGGTGACTCTTAGACCCTCATGACCCTCAGTCATCCAAGAAGAACATTTGAGTGTGTTCTTTTTATGTTTGCCAAAGCAGGTGCGTAGCATGGGGCTTATCTCTGCTGCTTTGCAGATACCTTTTAGAGCAGGCTGTCCGTGGTTTCACTGGAGACTGTAAGATAACGGTTTCCTCTGGGGTTTTATGAAGTTCCCAGAGGGGGTTGGCCTTCCAGGCCTCCTTCATCTGTCAGGAGTAGGTTGTGTAGAACCTGGTGGTTTTGCTTTCCTACCTGCCAGAGTAAGTAAAGAAGTAAAATTCCTTCGGGTAGAAAATAAGTGCAAACAGGTCTCCTGTGTAGCTGCTTGGACGCCGACCGGGAGGCCCTGAGACTGTCGCTCTGGGAGGGCCCGTGGGTGCGCTTCGTGTGTTCCCCCGGGGGCTGGCCGCAGTCGGAGTGGGCTGGCAGGGCCTCAGAAGGGAACAGGGACTCTGAAGTGAGGACGGGCCGAGGGTGGTGGCGTGTTTCCTCGGTGGTGTCCCCCTCCGTCTCCCTGTGCGTGCTGGAGTGAGAGGGACGTGTGTCACCTGCTTAGAGCACACGTACAGGCTACACAGAAACGACAGAGTGAGCACCCCGATGTCCCCCACACGCCTCGTGCCTGTCCCTCCCCAGGTGTTGTCCCCTCACCCCTTGCCCCCTGGAGTCTGCCCTCATTCCTTCCTGGCTGTATAGTCTCACCCCTTGTGCAGGCCACCCTAAGCAAGTAGCATTTAAACAGGTAGGGAGCACAGCTTAGCTGATGAAGGAGAGCTGCACTGCCGCTGTCCGGCGGGGACTGCCGGGAGAAGGGGCGTGAGTGACCGCTGGGTCTCCGGGTTTGACTGCAGCTCCCCTGAGTTTCACAGCAGCAGCTTGTGGGAAGTCGGTCACCTTCTGGGAGCGAGTCCTGGGAGACGGGGCTTCCCACTGTCGGGTCTGGGGCAGAGACAAGGGACACGCCGGCCCTGGACGTCTGACGCGCCCGAGCTGGCCGCGCTTGAGCAGACCCCGGACGTCGTTTGGATGTGGGGCATCCAGAAGGGATCTTCGTTTTTCCTTCCCAGCTGACGCAGTGTGGAAGCAGAGCCACAATGCTGAGTGTGAGCTGTTGAGTAACTGTAGTTTCTATAGAAATGTGCTTTTTGAAAAGAAGAGCAGGATAAAGTCTTTATTTCTCGCTTCGTGCACGGAGTCCTCCCGGAGCGGGTGCTGCAGGGGAGGGACGCGGGCAGGAGGGCAAGTGCGTGGCGGGTGAGCCTGGGTCGGGCACGTTCTGTGGGTTCCTGCTTCTCACAGTGGCACTGACTCAACAGACTGGTGGTTTTCCTAACGCTTTTTAAAAACCTTACGTTTCAGTTACAGTTTACATTCAGTATTATTTGTGTGTCAGGTGTACAGCGTAGTAGTTAAGTAATTGTATACAGTGTTTCCCCTGATATTTCCAGTATCACCTGGCTCCGTACCTAGTTGTTACAGTGTTATTGACGACATTCTCTATGCAGTACTTTGCAAGACTAGTGGTCTTGTGCAGTCAGCATTTGCCCGTGTGGGATCAAAAAGGCACAGAGCATATGTGCTCACGGAACTGAGAATATCCGTAGGCGGCTGTTTAGGTCGGCAGGGGCGAGCTACAGGGATAGCGGGATATGACGAGATGAGAGGGGCACACCCACCCCGGAGAGAGGCACCCCTGGGAAGTTGTGATCAGGTGAACGCCCCGGCAGGATCTCTGCGTCCCCCTGCTTTGCCCTCGGAGGACTGCAGCTTGTCCTGTGGGTGTGACCGTTCTCTCTGTTCTGTGCAGACTTCTGCTGGATGTGTCTAGGGGACTGGAAGACCCATGGCAGCGAGTACTATGAGTGCAGTCGGTACAAGGAGAACCCCGACATCGTCAACCAGAGCCAGCAGGCCCAAGCCAGGGAGGCCCTCAAGAAGTACTTGTTCTACTTTGAGAGGGTAGGCACCCTCTTCTGCAGCTGCACCTTGAGGGTGGGCTTCTTCAGTTGGGGACCACAGAATTTCCAGTGACCGGTAGCCAGAGCCTGCGTGTGCATGCAGAAGTCGGGGCATGGACCTCCTGCCATGGCCCTGGGTGATACCTCCGTAGATGTGGCCTTCCGGCCCCATAGGGCACCCAGGCTGGCAAGGAAGAATGTGGCGCTGTGTGAGGGCTGGACTGAAGGACAGTGAGGGGCCATCAGATAGTCTCCCATGAGGTTCCATCTTAATAGATTCAGCGGGCAGTTCTCCCAGGAAGACCCTTCAGAAGCCCCCACAGCATAGCGCCTTTGGTCTCTGAGCACGGCAGGCGGTGAACAGCCTGTTAGCCCTCGGGGCTGGAGCTCCTCTGCCCCCCAGGGGTGGGGCGATCTGGCAGGCAGTTCCTCTAGACACAGAGCGCGGTGTGGACTCAAGAAGTCCCCTCTGCTACTCCTAACAGCGCTCAGTCCCCGCAGGTGCAGCTGTGGCAGTGCCCTTCCAGCCAGGGTATCTGTTCTGAACTCCGTGTGGACCTCTGTACCTTCCCGGGACTCCTACAGCTTTCTCCTCCCTCTGTACCCTGTAGTGGGAGAACCACAACAAGAGCTTGCAGCTGGAGGCACAGACGTACCAGCGGATTCATGAGAAGATCCAGGAGAGGGTCATGAACAACCTGGGGACGTGGATTGACTGGCAGTACCTACAGAACGCTGCCAAGCTCTTGGCCAAGGTCTGTACCACCTCACTCTTCTGATTCCTTGTCCAGTGCCTGCCCCTGTCAGGCCCAGACTTCTGGGGGGTGGGCGGGGGGGCACTGAAGGGGGCATTAGCACCCTGTGCAGCCCTGCATGCTTCCGCTTACACGTTGACAATTCCCTGTGCTGTGTCCACCGAGGACCTAGTCCTCTGCTGATGTCCAAGGAAATCCCAAGAAGAGCAGTCCACTGCCTCTGCCAGCAGGGAAGTGCCTGCGGGGAAAGCTAGAGCCCTTTTCTTCCTTAGTCCCATCCATGCATCACTCAGAGGAAAGTAAGAGCTCACCCCTGGACAGTCACTGAGACAGATGTGTGGGCTCTCGTGTTCAACTCACGGGGGAGCCGGGAGGCGGCTGCTGGTGAATAAACCACGGCTTGACAAAGGAACTGGGGGTGTTCTGTGGCCACTTCTGTTCCATTTTTTCCCATGTTGTCCCCCAGCTCATCCTTTGTTTGGCTCGGTCTCACTTCTTCCAGGCCCGTGCCTGTAGAGCCAAGCTAATTTGCATGGTGGGGTACGAAATGGAGGAGCCACGTGAGGTGCATGTAGGTGAGAATGATGGACACAGGTGCCTTCTCTTCTCTCCCATTGCAGTGCCGATACACCCTGCAGTACACGTACCCGTATGCGTACTACATGGAGTCGGGCCCCAGGAAGAAGCTGGTAAGGCAGGCAGGGCAGTCAGTCCCTCTCCTCTGCCCTCTTAGCTTCAGAGGTGCCTTGGTTACGGGGTCGGGGTGGGGTGGCAAAATCAAAGCAGAGCTGCTCATTTTCAAATCTCACTTCTCCTCTAGGCACCTCCAAAGTAGGTCTCAGGCGCTGGCGTGTTGCGTAGTAGTAAGGCAGCGTCCTGAGTGGGGCCGTGGGATAGGCCCACCTGGCTGTGAGGGCCCGCGGCCACTCGAGAGGTCTGCTTTGGGAGAATGTCCAGCACACACGTCCTTAAAGGACGTGCACGTGCTTCCCTGGCGCAGTGACAGTGGGCTTTTTACATCTTCACTTAATTCTTTATCTTACGTGTGAGTTGCTCCCCCTCCCCGGCTTATAAAGTAATTCATATTTATTCTACAAATGTTGAAAAACAGAAAAAATTCACATCCAGAAATCCCACCAGAAATGACCATGTGTTAGCATTTTCTAGCTTTTTAAAATTAGTATTACTTACCCCTCAGTGGTGTGGCTCAGTGGATTGAGCACCAGCCTGTTCCTCGAAAGGCCACTGGTTTGATTCCTGGTCAGGACACGAGCCTGGGCTGCGGGCCAGGCCCCCAGTTAGGGGTGTGCGAGAGGCCACTGGTGAATTTTTCTCTTGCACATCAATGTTTCTCTCCCCCTTTTCCCCTCCCTCTCTCTAAAATAAATAAATAAAAGTTTAATATTTATATAATCAAGGCTGTGTGTGTGCCTGTGTGTATGAATGGCATTTTACTGTTCAAGCCGTTTATGGTTGCAGCTGTTGTTATTTTTACCAGGCTGGTAAATACCATTTTGTAGTAGTTGCATAAGTGTTCTATTAATGTGGGTAAATAATTTGGGGCATGAATTGTTTCTGTTTTTTACTGTCATAAATTAGACATTGAAGAACATCTTCGTGCATAAAAGCTTGGGCGTACAGTTACTAAGTCAGATGGTGTGACTGTTTTTAAGACCTGATTTGCAGAAGAACCAGGAAAACCCCAGACGAAGCACACGGGGTGGGCAGGGTCTGTGCGCATCCGCACGGACGTGCTTCTGCAGCGTCTGCGTGCCCGCGTGCTGGGGCGCACTCTTCAGCGGCGTCCGTTCTCGCCCTTTCCTTGGGGGCGCAGAGTTAGCGCGGCTCGCCCTCCGCACTCCGAGGTAGCCTTCTGGTTGGGCCCGGCGCGGCCCAGGGGCCAGCACTGCTCTCGGCCGGAGCTTGGCGTCAGGGCTGTGTGCTGCGCCGGCAAGCCTGAGTGCTGCGTCTGCCCCTCCGCCTGCAGGCCCTGCCCGGCTGCAGCCCCTCTCCTTTGACCCTCCTGCTCTGCCCATACAGTTCGAATACCAGCAGGCTCAGCTGGAGGCCGAGATCGAAAACCTGTCTTGGAAAGTGGAGCGTGCGGACAGCTACGACAGAGGGGTAAGGGCCCGCTCTCCGCTCGGACCGCTGCTGCCGGTGAGGGGGGCTGGCACGTTGGCAGGTGACGGGGTTGTTCTGCGGGCTGGAAGCGGCCGCTAAGACGGGTGGGAAGGGCTGTGCCTTTGACTCCTCGGAGCCCCTGTCGTGGTGGCCGCGGCTTTGGCCGCCCCTGCTCACGGGGCTCGGCCACGCGAGCGTTCATTTTGCTTCCCCTGCGCAGGACTTAGAGAACCAGATGCACATCGCGGAGCAGCGGAGGAGAACCCTGCTGAAGGACTTCCACGACACCTAGGCGGGACGGGGCGTGCCAGAGTGAGGACGACGTGGCCGCGAGGCCTCCGGCTGCCGCGCTGCAGGCTGCAGGCTCCGCCTCTCAGGACCCGGGCCGCAGCCGGGGCCCCGCCCTGAGAGACACTGGCCACACTCCTCCTAGTCAGCTTCTGTTTCGTTCTCATCTTCTGCTTTTTGTTTCTTGGCCTCTTCAGGGTTTTTAATTCCCCCTGGATGGTTGTTGGGAGGGAGGGAAAGTTTTTTCTGAATGACTATTAATAATAGTATTAGATCATTACAACTTATGTAATTTTCAAAGGTTGTACAATTATACAAAAAAGGCAAACCAACTCTAGAATTACACAGAACCCTTTTTAAAAATAAATTGGCATTGGAGTGTTTTACCCTCTAGCTACTTTCCTGAGAAGGTAACACAGGCTGCCCGCCTGCCCTGCCTCCGGGCGCACCTCGGTGGGTTCCAGGGCGGCCTCCGCCTCCAGACTCCCTTGGGGCTTGGCCGCGGCCGGCCTCCCGAGGGGGAGCCCAGGTGGCAGCGGGGGACTGGCGTTCGCCTGTGTAGGGGGCACGGCACACGGGAGCCGCATCACGCCTCCTTCCTGTTCCTTATGGACCCTTTGGGTCGGGTGCGCCTCCCCGCCGTGGCAGCGAGGGGACAGTGCAGAACAGGGTCTTGCCATGCGGTGTCTGAGCGTCTCCGGGGGCGCTGCTCGTCAGTGGGCTCATCTCTATTCTTGAAGGCGAGGCTTCCTGGGCCTGGCTCCTGGGCCAGGGCCCTCCCGACCGGGGACAGGAGTGGGGCACGGCATTTCCTTTTGTCTCCTGAAGAGAGACATCCGCTTTCAGAGGGAACTGTTCCCCCAAATAAGTTTGTTGAGCCATGGCCTCTCCCTTCGTGCCGGTGCTCAAGTGTGTGTCCCCGACCAGGCCCGCTGGCAGCCGCCCTGCCGCTCTGCTCGGGGGCTTCAGGGCCGGCGTGCGGCTGGCCCCGCACGGGCACTTGTCTTCCTGGCTCGGGAGGCTTGTTTGCACAGGTGGTTTTCGTGTTGCCTGGGGTGTGCCCGGCGGCGCTCTGGGGCTTGGGTGTCCCCCCCCCCCCTCCGGCTGACAGTTGGAGGCCACTGCGCCTGGGGCCTGGCAGTCTGAGGCCAGGACCGTCCTGAGTTTGCGGTCCCAGCACCTGTAGGGGGCGGGGCTGGCCAGGCGAGAGGGCCAGGTGTTGCCCTGTTGACCCCAGCAGAGCGAATGACTGGCTTGTGTGCTGCCGCCCCTTTCCTGCACTTGGCCCCGTGGGCCTCTGAGAAGCTAGGAAGTCTGTCCTCCTCGGGGTGTGGTGGCTTTGTCCAGGGCCTCCACCCCGAGGCTGGCGGGGCTGCCTGTGCCCCGCAGAGCGCCGGGGACCTCCTGGAAGAGCCGCGTGGGGAGTTCTCGGGTAGTCAGACGTTTCCACCTCAGTTCCCCGAGGACCATGGTTGTCACCTGGACTACTCTCGAAAAGATAAGGGACAGCTGTGACTCCGGGGGTCGTGGGTCCATGGCTGGAGGCAGGCCCCTGCTCAGGTTTTGTCTCTTCCCGCCATCTCTCGCGAGGGAGGGCCTGGGGCGGGGTGGGAAGGGCAAGTTAGAAGTGCAGCCAGTGGGCCCGGGTTGGGCGGTGGGGAGCTCACTGCGAGGAGCATGCCTGCTGTGGCCCGGGGTGGGGGCGGGTGCTGTGCGGGCACACGGACGACCCCGGCGTCTCAGCTGTCCATCCATCCTTCTGTGTGCCACCGGGGCCCAGGACCCGAGTCGCAGCTCCGCGCCGTCACTCCCGGGGCGTCTCTGGGCACCGTGTGGACTGCACAGCTGCGGTGTGCTGACCCGGCATCCCGCCGCGGCCCCGGCCCCGGCACTGCAGGAGGTTCGGGGCGGGACCACAGCCCCACAGCCTGTAGCCCTGGACCTGAGGACAGTTCCTTCTCCCAGGCCCCCTTCCCCCCCCATCCCAAATGGAAAGCTCAGGCAGAATTTTACCTACAAAGGACGGAAGGTAAAGAAGGCACTGTGTTTTCATGATTTTTCCATATATCTTTGTTTTCTTCAAAGAAAAAGTTGAGGTAATGTCTGCTCAAAGTTGAGTAAACTTGAATAAACATTCGAAGTAAACTGTTTCTGATTATAAAAGTATGTGCAGAGTCTTTCTTTAAAGGCTCCAAGGAGCCGCCCGAGCCACCGTCCCAGGAGGCTGTGGCCCACGAGCCCCGAATGAGGGCCTTCCCGCTGGCCAGCCCCTGGCCCGGCTCTGGCTCCGGGGAGAGGGCACCTGCCGAGGGTCGCAGACTGTCCTGGCGCCTCTCCTTCCCTGGGTCCAGGCCGAACCGCTCCCCACCTCCAAGGGATCTCTGGGTTGTGATGGGGTGCCGACTCCAGTGCCCCACAGGCCCTGCTGAGGCCCTGGGCCCCTTACTCCGAAGACCCCCTGGGTTTCTCCAAAGCGAGTGTGGGGGCAGAGGGCTGGGGAGTATGGCCAGGGCTTGCATGTGGCTTCGCAGGGGCGCCGGGTTATGAAGAGAGGACTCTGGGGAGAAACTGTAAGTGTTTGGTGTTTAATGCCCAAGGTCAAGGACAGGAAATACGGATACGGGTTCTCGTTGAGAGGGTCCATCTGTGGTGTCAGGAGTGGCAGAAACGTCCATGATAGTTCAGGTGGGGTTTCCAGAGCTGTGCGCAGCTGCTCTGGGGCAGTCAAGCCAGAGAAACCCCGATTCTGCCAGCCTGAACTCCACAGTTGCTCCTCCTCGGGCCTCGAGCGTGCGAAGCCCCATGCTTGGCACCTGGGCGTACAACAGTGTGCAATACATGAGCTCTGCCCTCCAGGGTCCTCCAGAACAGGGGTGGGGGGTGGGCACAGACGGAATCGGTCCCTAGTGAGTGCTTCCTCCGAGACAGCCAGGCCAGGAGCCACTCCTGCAGACCAGTGGGCAGGATTCCGTGGCCTTGGCACTGCCCTCGGTCGTCTGGAAAAAGGACGAGACGAGAGCACAGTCGAGCAAAGTCTAAGGGAAGGGTTTTTCCACATGGCCCCGGGGGTCCATGCAACTACCAGCATCGCCTATGGACTGGGCCCTGTTTGGGGCACTGGGGTCACAGCCATTGAACCTGGTTTGTTCAACCAGTTTCTGTCACCACAAGACAGTCACACCAGCCATGCACTGAGCACCCACCCGGGGAGCGCTCGCAGCAGCCCTGCGACGGACGTGCTGTCCCCATCCACATTACGGGGCTGTTCAACGTGAGTATTTACCCAGTGTCACCACTGCTAGCAGCGTTGGTCGTTGCCTCTCACGCACCCCCGACCTGGGACCTGGCCTGCAACCCAGGCAGATGCCCTGGCCGGGAATTGAACCAACAACTCTGGTTTGGGGGAGGATGCCCAAACCGCTGAGCCACACCAGTCAGAGATTTGTCTTACAAGCTTTAAAAGGACAGAGAGGAAGTGGTTCCATCGTTCCTTCATGAGTACCAGAAAACCATGACATTCTTGGTAAAACTGACTCAGTATCTCATATGTAAGAACTTTGAGATTCATATGACTTAAGAAAAATGTGTTCCTATTGTACTCAACTTGGGAGACTTTGTGAAAGATACATTTTAAAAAATTGGGAGATTTCTGGCCCTGGCTGGCGTAGCTCAGTGGATTGAGCACGGGCTGTGAACCAAAGTGTCACAGGTTCGCTTCCCAGTCAGGACACATGCCTGGGTTGCAGGCCACGGGCCCCAGCAACCACACATTGGTGTTTCTCTCTCTCTCTCTCTCTCTAAAAATAAATAAAAATCTTTTTTAAAATTGGGAGGTTTCTGACAACTAGAGTGGATCAAACAAAAGTTGCAGGAAATTTGAACACTCTGAAGTTGGTAATAGGATTTTCATCAATTTGAATGAGGAACACTTCTTCTGCAGCATTTCCCTTCTTTCGGAGTTCATTCCAGGGGGAAGGGCCAGATCCCGCTAGGGGTCCCTTCAGGGGGAAGGGTCAGGTCTGCCTTCGTGTCCGCAGAGGGGCCTTCAGGATTGCCCCGTTGGCTGTGGAGTTGTCACTTCCCGCCCCATCCAAAGCGGGTTGCTGGACCGTTCGTGTTTGGTCAGCATCCCAGCTTGGGCTGAGCCACACAGCTCCCACGGCCATCTGTACCCCTCCTCCCCAAACATCCAGAACCTCCTTTGGTTGGACAGTGTTTCTCTGTAGTATTCTAAGGAGACTGAGGGGATGGTCCCTGGAGGCGGCTGGAGGAGTGGATGCACCCACGTGCTCGGGCACTAGTGGACCCACCATGGTGTACAGAAGCCACCCAAGAAGGCGGGCCTATCCTTGGAGCCCCTGGCCTCTCCTGCTGTGGAGACCAGAAAATGCAGGCTCTACTTTTCTGGGAGGAAGTGGGAGGGAAAGGGGGTCTCGACAGGGTAAGGAGAAACCAGCAGTGGGACCTGCCTCCGTGGCATTGCCCTAGGGCATATGCATCTCTGCCCAAGGATAACCAGGGCCTGGAGAGCAAGGAGCTCGAACATGCCCAGGCTTTGGCGCTGGACCCCTGGTGTGTCCTTCCACTCTGGGTTGGACTCCAGTCTGAGTTCGGTTTTCTTCAGAGGCGACGGTCACTTAGTTGTGGAAAAGTCCCTTTCTCCCTCCTCCCCTGTGTCAGCTTTGAGGCAAGGAGCGCTGCTGCGCACTGAGCACATTCCTGCAGCTGCTGTGTGGGATCTGACCTTCCTGGTGCCAGGGCTCTTCCAGGAGGCCCTCTCTGACGACCCCAGGCGGGGTCCCACCATGTGCGCGACCCCGCACGTCAGACAGCTTCTTCCTGAGTCTTGATTCCTGCAGGCCTTCCCGGGGGGGGGGCTCCAAACCGACCACGGAGTGAAACGGAGCTGTGAACCAAAGTGTCACAAGCATTCTTGGCCTCCTACACCGACGAGGGTTAGCGCCGAAAGCCATGGGGCCTACGCCATCACATGAGCGGTTTTCTCCGCGGCGCCCCAACCCACCGCAGTACTGAGTCATTTTTTTGGCACTGCTGCTTCCTTGCGGCCACCCCATTCCCGGGCGCGAGAAAATACAGACCACAGGTTTCCGGGAGGAGGGAAGTGCGTCTCAACCAGGAAAAGGAGAAACTTCCACCGGGGTTTCCTTGAATGGTGCTGCTCTGGTTTGCATCTACACTGGGGGAGGAGACGGTCGGCCTCTGGCCTGAAGGGTGTGCATCCCCGCCCTGCAACATCCCAGCTCAGGAAGACAAACTCCAATGTGGACCGGGGTCCGCGGCGCGCAGAAATACTGCGCGGCAGGCTCCCGGCAGGCTGGCGCAGCATCCCCAGGCACGGTCCCCCACTGACCGCGGTGCGCGCAGG